GATGGAGTTGCTGGCAAACGCACCAGGAAGTACAGTGACCTGAGCTATGCCTGCCCGTCCATCTCAAACGTGCCCAGAACCCAACCTTACGCTGGGGGGTGAGGCTGGCTGGCGAGGGGCTCAGGTGGGGTGTATGTTGAGCGAGGGCTGGGGTATGTGAGTGGGCCAGCTGCCATGAGTGGTCAGGGTGGGGCGCCTGGGACTCAAGATCAACCTGAACTGGCTCTGGCAGGGGGAGCCGGCCACCTGGATGACCTTCCTCATCTCCTACTGGGGCGAGCAGATCGGGCAGAAGATCCGCAAGATCACCGACTGGTGAGTCCGTGCTGCCCTCTGGCCGGGGCCACGGTCCCACGGCCGCTCTGAAGGTGTTGCGTTGGTCTCTGGGGGACGCCATCGCGCCCAGGCCCTGCCTGCCCGCAGCCTTGCGTACAGACCACTTCCTCAACCCAGAATGCAGCTGTCCCCGCTGGCCCAGGCTGCCCTCAGCACCCCTTGTCCCCGCCAGCTTCCACTGCCACGTCTTCCCGTTTGAGGAGCAAGAGACCGCCCGCCGCGGGGTCCTGCAGCAACTGCACCAGCAGAGCGCGGAGCTGCGGGAGGTATGACCCCTCCTCGGCGGGCGGAGCTGGACCCCCAGCCCCCCGCCCCCCGCAGCTCCTCCTCCTGACTTTCGGTTCTGGCCCCAGGTCCTGGGCGAGACCGAGCGGTTCCTGGGCCAGGTGCTGGGCCGGGTACAGCGGCTGCTGCCGCCCTGGCAGGTGCAAATCCGCAAGATGAAGGCCGTGTACCTGGTTCTGAACCAGTGCAGCGTGAGCGCCACCCACAAGTGCCTCATCGCCGAGGCCTGGTGCCCGACGCGCGACCTGCCCACCCTGCAGCGAGCCCTGCAGGACAGCTCGGTGAGCACCGGGCTCTCCCCACTGCCCTGCCCACCGCCCTCCGCTCTCTGCGCCCACAGCACACCTCGGCCCCGCCCCCACACCTTTGCCTGTCCAGGTCCACCCGGGCCCCAGCCCCAACAAGCTCTGGCACCCCCGACGTGGAGCCCCTGGGGCGGGGTCAGTCACACCTGGGGCTTGTGCAGGCTGTGGGACAGTCAGGGAAACGGCTTTAAAGCCGGGCTCCATCAGGCACAGAAGCAGCTGTGAGAGCAACCTTGGGGCCCCACGTGGGTGATGGGTGCTCATGGGTGGTGATGGGGCGCCCTCTCCTGGACACTGACTTCCCACACCTTTTTGACCGGCAACTCACCTGTGCCTCCGCCCACCGCGCCTGCAGAACGAAGTGGGCGTGAGTGCCGTGGCGCACAGCATCCCCTGCCGCGACATGCCCCCCACGCTCATCCGCACCAACCGCTTCACCGCCAGCTTCCAGGGCATCGTGGACGCCTACGGCGTGGGCAGCTACCGGGAGGTCAACCCTGGTGAGCTCCCCAGGCCTTGTGCCACACTGGCCGCCGGCCAGGCTAGGCCAGAGGCCCCGCCCACAGGCCCCGCACGTCCAGTGGCCTGTGCCTCCGTGTTCCTGGGGGGCAGCTGGGCCATCAGACCCCAGTATGGAGAGTTGTAGTCTGCGTGGGCCAACTCCCCCGTATTCCTGACCAGCGCGCCTCATGGGCGGGTCACTGCCCATCTGTCAGTTGAGGCTTTGATACTGAACGTGTTTCCAAAGTGTTCGCAGGGTAAAGACGAGGAAGCAAGTCCTGGCAGCCCCTCGGGACCAATAACGAGAGTAGCGATACTAGGAGGGCAAGGGGAAGGTGGGGCAGAAAGGGGGAACCACCCGGTCACAGTGACCTACATCTAACCCCCTGGGGGGGGGGACAAACAACAGAAAAGTGGGTGAAGGGAGGCAGAGGTCAGTGTAAGACATGACAAAAATAGTAATTTATAAATTATCAAGGGTTCATGAGGGAGGGAGGGGGGAAATGAGGTGACACCCAGGGCTCAAGTAGAAAGAAAATGTATTGAAAATGCTGATGGCGACCTAAGTACAAATATGCTGGACACATTGGATGGATGGGTGGACTGTGATAAGAGCCCCAATAAAATGATTTTTTTAATAGTAAAATAAAATAAAGATAGGCCCCCCCCC